CCTTCGCCCGTACGAAGACGTATCTCCCGTACGCATCACCATCCCCTCCCATACCTGCATCCCTCACCGCTGCAGGAGACGGCTGGCTAGGGACGTTAATAATATCCCTCGTCGGCCCATGTGCAATGGCCGTAGAGAAGTATCGTGCGACGGAATACCAGTCTAGAGTTTGGGATGTCGGTTTGCAAGCCACCTTGTACGCCGGGGTCGTGCGTAACGCGAAGACGTGCCGTGTCAATCGAGCATAGGCTCCATTTGCTACCAGCTGGTCCGAATCGGTGATAACGCTGATTTCGTGCTCGTATATCAAGGCGCACAGGATATGCTGAGCGAGCCGCCACTTATTGCTGACGTCACACATTTTCAGGATGTCTTCCCCGCCGTAGTGTTGATTCCGTAATTGAAGCCAGTCCTCCCGTGTGTCGACCACCGGCAGCAGATTTTGCATGCGGGGCTTGTCGAATTTGTTGATCCAAGTGATCAGCCAGCGCACAACTTCCTTATCCGAGCAGCGGTCATGCCAGTCTGTCAGACCTCCACGCAGACAATCTCTCCGCCACGAAGCCGTCCATTCTTCTAGCGTCCGGGCACGCAAGGTGGAGAGAACTCCTCCGGGAAAGGGAGCTGTTGCAGGAGCCGTAGCAACTGCTCCAGGTCCGCTGTTGCCGCTGCTATCCAGTCCACCTCCGAACTTTCTTGCACTGGAAATGACGCTCCGTGCGGTACATCCCACACTCCACTTTGGCTGCTCCAGAGCTTTGGCCAAGCGTCCCTGGTAATCTCCGAGGCTGGTGGAGGATCTGGTTGCCCAATATCCTGCATTGACTCTACTGCCGCTGCCTCCATCGCAATCTGTTGGTGCGATCTCACGTACTGCCTTATCTGCTCTCCTTCCAGTGGCATCATCGTGTACTGTCGCTTCGAGGGCGCACTCCTGAATAGCGGAAGCTGGCCTTCGGGTCTGATACTGGCTTGCGACCCGAAAGAGCTGCTCCCGCTCGATGGAGTGTAGACCGAGCCTGAGGCTTGATCGGATCCTTCGGATTGGGAATCTGACGGAGTCAGGCCCATCGTGGTGTCTGTCTGCAGGGTAGTTTGCCATTGCTCCGACACGGCCGAGGAAACATTATAGCGCTGTTGTAACGATCTCACTGCTGGGTCATTGACGTCGCGCGGGTTTAGCTTGAGCAGCGATTTCCGTTCCGCTGTGGATAGCTGCGAGGCCGTGTGCACGAGAAACGTCAGAAGTTCAGTATACCGCCCCGGGTCACCTTTCTCCAATATCAACTGAACTTCACATTTCAGGACGTGCGATAACGTCATCCCGGTCAATCGGCAACGTAATTCAGCGACGTTGCCGTTCCACTGAGTAGGATCCCAAGGATCTTAAGAGTTGCCCAAGTTGGAGGCTTGGCTGGTCGGTGACAGGGGTGCTTATGCACGCTCACCAACCGCTGGAGATGGTGGTGGTCGTTTTTCCTCTTGCAGATCCTGCGTTTCTTGGCTTTCACCCGCCGCCTCGGTATGCACATATGCCGAGAAGTGTTCGCCCCAGTAGCGAAGCACTAGTGGGGGTGTCTGGTTTGCCCTCTTGTCTGCTCGAAAAGCTTCTAGGCACCGCGTGAGCTGAAGCGGCACTTCGCCCCTTCGAACGTGAGCCTGGTCGGTACTCCGAACAGTACCACTGCTTCTTGTTGTCCGTGTCGTACGCCAGCACATAGATCTTGGTCTGCAGAAAATTGGCCGCGATGGCCATGAGCTCGCTGCCCCCCCAATTGTGCCGCGAAACGATGGCTTTGCGATGCGATTCCGTAGACGCATATTCGGTCAGATACCACTTGAACTGTTTAAGCGACTCCGGGGCTGTCATGTCCGTCCAACCTCTGTTGACATTCACAAGGGTGGTTGTTCTCGTAAAATGGTCAAACTGCTCATTGAAATTGAGCTGTCCTGCCCATAGAATCCCTCGCATCAGCGCCGCTGTCATATTTTCCAGAACGTCATCATACGCGGCTAAGTCGTGGTCCGCGCACACTTGGGCGAGTGCCATCGCCATACAGTTGCCCGATGCCGGTGTGGTAACGGGTCTTAATCCGAGTCCTTGCTCAAACGCTGGGAATCCAAGCATTTCCTCTACTGGAGTGTCAGTCGACCGGCGTAGATGCCCGTGCAAGTTCGCCACTTTGGCCTTTTCCTTCGTTAAAATGTCACGCTCACGTTGCTTCAGTGCTACCAGCTTGGGCTGCTCTTGAAGTTTTGGCGGCTTTGCGGTTACTAAATGTAAGTCCGCAGGGGGTCCTGCACTTGGTTGCTGGGCCGGCTTATCCTCCCTGTCCGCTGAGGTGAGGTCAATCACCGGCGCAGGTGGTTTCTCCTCTGCCTTCGCTTCATCGTTGTCTCCCTCTTCGTCGTCTGCTAATGCCGCGAACCTCGACGAGGTGGTGATGCCTTTGTCGTGAAATGGTTCTGCGGTGGTTCATCGGCTGCGCTATCCACTTTGGCTTGGGCTTAGGCTTGACCTCGGCCTCTCTTAGCTAACCTCCAGGGGGAATGGTAGGGTCCACCTGCGCTTCTGACGTTAGCCCTTTTGGTGGTTCTCCGTCGCTCATCGACTTCTCCGAAGTTGGTTGAACCGCCTCCCGTTCTTTCGTGACTGCTGCCACGTGAAGTTCCCAACGCTTGTCCGCTGTCCCTTTGATATCGACGTAGCTGTCGAAGGTCAGCGCTTGATCCGGTAGCCCCACTAACTCCTTTTCCTTCACCACTCGACATCCGCTACCTTCTAGTTGTTCGGCAGTGTAGCTACATCTAGTCATGGTATGTCCTAGAGTTCCACACCTGTAGCACTGTAGGCGGTGTTTGGCATACGGGTGCTGTAGCACCAGCGAGCGTTCAGACCACAGCAGACGGACAATGCCTCGTAGAAATTCCGGACTCTCCGCGGATTTGATGGTGAGCTGCCAGTACACTGTCTCTGGTGAGCTTGGTATATTGGCGTCCCGATTTTCCAGCTCAAATCCCACGTCCAAATGCTTGCGGAAGTAAGCCGTGAGGCGTCCTACATCTGTGACCCGCGCTATATTAAACAGGTCAATGACGTATTCCTTGTCCTCCGCCAGCCGGCTGCCGTCTCGGCCTCGACGACTGGTCCATCCCGATCCCGTATCATAGCGGTGAGCATTGGTGGGTTTGTCGACGATACCCTTGAAGGGAATAAGCGTATCCTGAAATCTTTTGGCCGTTGCTCGATCAAAGAAGTAGACGTGGATGCTACGTTGCACGTAGTTGTAGCTGAGGGTCTTGGGCAAATTCAGCATTGTCTGGATCTCGTTCAGATTGACCCGATTTCCAACTGCTGTTGCGGCCATGAGAATGTCTTCCCGAAGCAGCCGGGGTTGCTGCCTGTTTTCTTTTACCGCCGCCCAGCTTCGTAGCTGCACGACTAGCTCGCCCTCCACCTGCACCTGGATGGTACGATACAGCCGTAGACGTTCTTGGCCGTCGAGCACACTCCGCACGAAGTCAGGTGTCTTACGACATACCATGGTGCCTTCTGCCATCGCTCCAATGATTCTCCATTCATCATCGGTGCCGACGCGTAGCCTTCGTCCCGGCCGGTTTTCGGCCTCGTTCTCACAGATTGCCCGTAAGATGACGATGTCGTCAGGCTTGAAGAAGGCGGGATTAAACATGAATGGCTCATATTGGGCGCCTCCCTCTTGGTTGACAGCCCTTCTTCCCCCTGCCGACTGCCCTGTCTTAATCTTGGCTACCCACTGGTTCAAGGGCTTCACTCTAGCCCACTTCACTTGGCTAATCTTGCTTTGAAGGAGATGCTTCAACGACCATTTGGTGTGTACAAGTCTTGAATGACATTGGCCAAACAGCGCTCCCATTCCACGTAAGTCCCGCCTTGGCTTGAGCTAAACTCCTTCAGCAAGTTGAAGAGCAATGCGCGTTCGTCGCCCTTCAGCTTCGGATACCTTTTTTACTCGCCGGGACTCCTTCCTCGTCGATAGTCACTGTAGCATGCGTGTGCTCGAATAGTTGCGCCACTGTCTTTAACCAGGCTTCTCGTGGTGCTCCCTGCCCCCCGTCTCGGACCGCCTGAATCACTGCCTGAAACAGCTCCGCTGAGCCGATCTCTGGGATGGTCGGCTGCTGGTTCTGATCTTGATCTGCCGCTGAGGCTTGTGCGACCTCGGGAGCCTCCTGGTCCTCCCCTCCTCGCCTCGTGCCCTCATCTTGTTCTGCCGGCGTCACGCTGCTGGCCGCTACCACTGGGTCGTCGGCGTCGTCCGACACTATTGTCTCCTGCGATTGCTGAGTCTCCTCCACTATGGAGTCTTGCGTCATGCGCGTAGGCTCAGGTGCAGCTGGCCTCCGCTCGCCCCCTAGCTGTCCCCTTGCTTCCGTAGCTCGCCCTGGGTCCGGCGGCTCGGCTCCCCTTCCAGGCGGCCGCTCCCCCGGCGGTCCCAGATCGGTGTGCATTTCGTAAATAGAGTGTACGGAAGTTGAGTCTAGTGTAGGTTCGAGTCAGTGCTAGATCGCGGCGCCAACAAATTTGCGTATTCTCGTCGCAAGGTATTCTGGGACGCCGTTGCTACGTTTGTACGCTCGGGGTTCACCAGCGACGTTGCCATTGACGGAATTTACGCGGCCTATGTCACTCGCATCCTTGCCGCCCTTCGCAATGACAAACACCAAGGTGGCCATCCATCTCTCCGTCTGTAGTTACAGCTAATGAAACTCACGAATGCACCTTATTGACCAATGACAGTGCAGTTGCACATTCTGTCGGTATTTATACAGTACTGCAATCTAAACCTCTAGATGTGATGATCCTAAATCCAAATGGTTACGCTAAAATATGATTTATTTGCAAACCCGGTATTATTCACTACTGCGAAAACGGGGTGTAGTACTGTATGGGGCTCGTCACATTTCTCCACATCGCCAACTGGGGTTTTCCCGCCTTCTTTACAAAAAGAAAGTCGTTTATGCCGCCGGCTTCCGAGCTGCACGAGCCGTACGAGAGGTATCTGTACGCGGACCTGCGCCACGAGTTGTCCGTGCGCCACATACGTGTTCCTCGTTCCGGACAGTGCCTAAATACTCGCGTGGGCTTCATTCACCTCCTGCGCGACTGGGACCAGGCGCAAACGCAGACCCCCGAGACTCCAAGGCGGACATCACCTCGACGGACTCAGAACAAGCACCAGACTCAGATGGCCTCTACTCGTGTCAGTCGAGCGCGTCGTGGCTGCCGCTTCCGCCTCATCAACGTACTGCTGAGCCCAGAATTCAAGCGGCGCTGGAACGAAATGATCTCACGCGGCGGCAAGATGGAGGTGAACCGTCTCTGGATGGACGTCCACGCCGCCTTCATGGCGCAGAACTCTGCGCTGGATGGATTGCACTTCCAGGACGCCCTTTTCGTCAACGTCACGCCCAATGTTATCCTCGGACACTCGGCCGCGCGACTGCTGCAGATGTGGATCGAGATAGTCATCATGTACCGCAACGCCGTGGCTCAAGCCAAAGAGGCGGCATCTCACAACGACAACGCTCACTCGTTCTTTGATTTTTGCGCTGGGAGATTGGACCTGCTGTATCTGCACATGGCCATGCTGCTGGAGCCCAAGCTTTACGACTTTGTCATGTCAGACAAACTCTCTAATGCGGAGCCTTTTAGCAAAATTAAGACTAAGCCCAAGGCAGTGGTGAATGCTACTGAAGCTATACAAGCAAAAACTGCCGATAGTAAGCCAGGGGCAGCGATTAAGGCGGCGGCAGCGAAGGCTATATCTACGGCTCCAGTTTCTACCGCCAAGGAGGCCGTGGCTTCTACACCTGCTCCGAGCAAAGCAGCGGTGGCGAATCCCCTTACTCAGTTGAAATCGTCCGGAGTGCTCACACAGAATCCGGAGATGAAAGAACCTCTCTCGCCCGCCATGGCTAAGAGATCCGTAACAACGAAGACGGCTGCAGCCAAAGTCAACAAGTTAACTATTAAAGCTAAAAGCAAGCAGGCAAAGCCAGAAGAAACTCACCGCACAGGGCGTTCCGGCTTGAAGAAGGCTAAGGAACCTGGAAGGTCAAGTTAGGACCGCGTCCATTTCTGTCACATTGATTCAAGGTCAAGCACCGAAGGCGTCGATTATTGTTGATTTCGGTAAGGAAACAAAGCCGAAGGCGTCGCCGCCGATGGAGAAACAACCAGCATCGCTCGCTAAGCCGGAAGCGGCAACCAAGCCTGACCTCAAGAAGTCATCGATTGGTGATAAAGCAGTGCAGACACAATCACTCGGAAAGAGACCACGTGAACAAGGGAACACTTCGATAGTTGAGGTTCCAGTCGTGAGCGATATCATTCCTCACTCTGGTAATAAACGAGTGCACACGACAACAACGACGATCTCGACAGCTCTAGCAACTCGTCCGACCGACATGATGTTGCCTCCTGATGAGTGGGATATCCTAGAGAGCCGACTGCGAAAAGTGAATGAGAACATTGATCGGTGTCACCGTGGGCTATCAAGTGTCGAGGGGAACGTCAGTGATAGCTACAAACAATCTTTGGAGGCAGATCTGCGTTTCTACTTCGCTATCAAGCAACGGCTGCAGGAGCAGCTTCTAGTGGTGATGCAGAGTGGCTACTAATGCGTCTACTTTTGAAAGCAGCAGGCTAACTTATCTGGGTTCGCGGGTATCGGTGTGAAGTACGTTTCGATTTGTCGAAGTACTAGTACATGTACCATTTTTCTATGAGGGTTTATCTCCTTTTAATGGATTTACTGTAGTATTTTCCAATATATTACTGGGAGGATAGCTTTAGCTCGTAACCAATTTTATTATATTGGCAGTGTGCGGCAGAATGTGTTAATTGCGCGATTATTATTGTGCCAGAAGTCCTGACGAGATTTATGTGGTTTTCGCGGGAAAGGACAGTGAAATGATTTTCTAACAATTAGATGGCTCTCACCATCCCCAATTCTATTTACAAAGGTCAAAAAAAGCATGATAACACCTCTGTTTCGTTGGACATTTAGAGCGAAAGGAAAGCAGACACAGAATATGTTTGCTGCGGTTAGGTGAGTAAGTACAGTATCAGTAAGTAGAGGTCGACTGTTGAGCGCTTGACAAGCAAGTGTGAAAGCATGTTTTGACATTATGGGAGAGGGGGCGAGGAGAAAAAAAGTCGCGAGGGGGCGCCACCCTGTGCAGCCATTCATTCAAAATTTGCCGATGGCAGCGAATACGTCTCTCAGAACAATGCTGCGGTGCAAGGCGTCGTCCAACAAGCTGTGGCAGACTGTCTCAAGCGCCGCGCACGCAACACTCGTCGCAGCTACGAGCCCAAATAGGGGGAGTGGGTTATGTCCCGTACCCGGGAACGGAGGGGTCATTCCAGGAGCTCTGCCTCCCGTCGGGATGACCCGAGACCCTGGAATCACTCCTCGCCCCGCCGTCCCGTCAGGGTGGTTCCCGTTGAACCCAACCTCGCACGTACCCTTGACCGAGCCCGTTAGGGTGGTACTATAAGGGGACCCCTGAACGCCGGAGTCTTGGCGTCGGGGGACCAAAAGCACCTCGCGACATCAAGCCCTTTCCCAGAGGCTCTCCGTTGTCCCACGAAGGCCGACAACAAACGAAGTGAATCCTTCCTTTTTTTATATGTAGTGTAGTGTATGTAAGGTCGAGAAGTTGTTAGGCCTCTCTTCCGGTTAGCTCTCAGTCTTATATTTCCCTCCTTCTACTTAAGAGGAAGCCAAGCCAATCAACAAACTTTTATTTTCAACTCTCTAGTGTTCCTATCTACCGTTCCTGCAGCCACTGAACAAGACCGTACTCCCTGAACAGCCGCGGACTACCCGACCCTCGAAGGAAGAGGAGGTATACGACATCTGGTGGAGAAGCAGGGTAGTCTGCTAGCTGGAGAAGGTCTTGCTCCAAGTGAAGTCTCGCGGAGAACGTCAGAAGGAAGGACAAGATGTCGGCTACTAACAACAGAGAAGATGAGAGCGCCACTGTCCGGGAAGAAGAAGGCCCGACCGAGAGTCTGCCTTCGAGAATGCGACCCAGTCTGTCGACTACGCAAGGCCTCCAAAACGTGCAGAATATCATAGACCAAGCGGCTAACCGACTTGGGGGGAACAACTCTAGTACTGGTGTCGAGCCACCCGCGGACGCTTTGGGCTCCGGGGTCCCTGCGACCTTCACTTCGGAAGAGTTGGACTCGATGCTGACCCTGAACGGCGGAGGCGGCCGAGGTATGGTGCAAGGCTGGCTTAACTCCCTCAACTGGTTGAGATCCATGGCCCCTCCTGAAATTGCCGCCGCTATGGAGAGAACTGGTGGAAACGGTCTTGTGGGGACTCCCCCTTCTACGACTCGAGTAAGGACTGCAATCCCGTCGTACCAAGGTTTCACAATCCGAACCCCAAATACGTCATATGGACAGGACTTCAACCCGTTCTTCTCCCTACCAACTGTCCCTGAAAACGGTGGACGTGCTTCCCCGGCAAGTATTCCTCCGAGGACCTCTAACGCTCCTCCTTGGGGTCTCCAGCCCTCCGGTAACTTGCGAGGAGGCGGGGAGAACGCTCCAGCGGTAACCGTCCCCGTTCCTCAGAGGGTTCCTTTCGAGGTCTCGTCGCCTACCGTTCAAATTCCTACCCAAGGCCTGGGGTCTCGAACTTCGATTACCAGTGGAGTCGCGTACGGAGTCGACCCTACGAGAACAACCCGAGCTTCACAAGGAAACGGAGGAACTACGGCTTCTGCCGGAACCCACCAGGGTCCTGCGTATGAGGAATATGGAGGTAACTCCTACTACTCCTCGCCTACGTATGGTAATACGCCTTCGACTACTAGTGGCCAGTATGGTATGCCCACTAACATCCGAAACGCAATTCGCATGCTCCAACCCTTTTACTCGGAAGGAGCGTCGGTGGAGAAAGCTAGATCCTTCTGGGAGGCCTTCGAGAACGCCACGATAGGGCTGGACGAACCCCTGCGTCTCAGCGCTTTCAGGGAGTGCTTGAAAGGCAAGGTCGGCGAAGATTGGTGGATGTACTCGCGCATCAACAGCTTTGAGGCTCTGAGAACTCGGTTCCATAACCAGTTCATCAGTCAGACCCCTTTGCAACTGATTGAGAATCTGAAGAGCACTAAAAGACCCCGGGGAATGTCCGCCGAAGTGTGGGGCGACATGATTTCAAGTCTCTGCGATGATGCTCAGTGCTACGACACTCAGATGCGTTACCAGTACTTCTTGTCTGGACTTCGGAACCGAGATTGGAGGAACGCCCTCACCACGACAATGATTGACTCCATCCCTGCGGCTGTGGCCATGCTGCTCCTTAAGAATATGCACCGTCCGGTTGAAGACGACTCCGAGTTCGACAATGTGCCGTCCCCTAAAGCTTCCCAAGAGAACGCTGTCCTCGAACGCATGATGAACATGATGCAGCAGACGCAGAATCTACTCGCTCAGCAGCAACAGCAACAACTTCAACAGCAACAGCAGTTGATGGAGCGTCCTCTGACGACCGCCTATGCTTCCCCAGCGATGAATGTAGCTGCTGCCTACTCTCCTCCTGATCCGAACCCCTCTCTGCACTATCAGCCTATCGGAACGCTTCCTACCGCATTTATCAGGGGCGTTCGTGTGGGTCCGGACTTGCGAACCCAAGATGGTCTTCTCGTGTGCGGTCGGTGTCACACTCTGGGGTGTAGTCGTATTCACTGTCGCCGCGGCAAAGCCACCTGTCCTCACTGTAAGGAAGTGGGCCACATCGGTCCTGAATGTGAGCGTGACCCTCCTAGCGGATTCCGGAACACCCAGCCGAGGAACGGACGCAAGTGCTTCCTGTGTGATGAATCGGGTCACATGTTGGCGGAGTGCCCTCTAAAGACGGCACTGAAGAGACTTGGCTGTCCGACAGGGGCAACGGTGGGACCTGTCCTAGGGCAAGCGCCCAGCCAGCAATGATGGGGGCGAGAGGGAGGGGAAGGGAGTGTCGCTCCTTCCTCTTGTCTATGGATCGACACAAATGGGAACACTTTGAACTCCGCGGAGGAGTCGACCAAGAGGTATGAAGTGTGTCCTGTTGGAGGTGGGATGAGTTCCGCCTTACCGGAAAGAAATGAAACGAACGTAAGCAATGAACATATGACGAGAACTGAAGAAATACTGCCGTTTGAGCATGAAGGACGTACGGCGCCCGTGTGGAACGGGGTATCGGTAGTCTCAAACCCCAACGACTGTTGGAAGACGGAGAGAGAAGCGTTTGTAAAAGAGGTAGGCTCGGGACCCGTAAGGGACGGTCCCGCAATAGCGGCGCACGTCGACGAACGCTCCAATACGAACCTAAGAGTGGTTACGAGAGATGACCAAGAGAGCGAGATCGAAACAACGAACGAAAAACTAAGCAAGGAAGGAGAGACGGAAAAGCCGCTACTTCAGGCGTCCTCGACGGAACGAGACTACACGTCGACGTCAACGAACCACAAGAGTGTGGTTTCGAGCGTGCTCGATCAAGACGAGGAAAGGTGAGTCCAAGAACGGCCCTATACAGGAGGAGTTAACCCCAGACGTGACGGAGGTACTCGAAAGCCCAACCCGAGAACAACATGGAGCTACCAAAGCTAGTGTTCCAGTACCAAAGGCGGACCCACGCGGGCAGGAGAAAGACGTGACCACTCCTGAGAGAGACGACGCCTCCGAAAAGGACTCTGAGGACGTCGCCAGTACTAAGTCCCCAAAGAATGAACCGGAGAAGGAGCCTTCCTTCGCGAGGGTGTTCACCAAAGAGGAACTAGATACGTTGGAAGAAGGTAAGCCTTCCGAGCTGGCTGAAGAGAAAGAAGAATATGACAAAGAGCTCGAAGACCGACTGTTTCCTCTCGATGAAGTCGAACTGAAGCGCCGGTTAGTTGAGAATGCGGAACAATCGAAGGAATTGTCTCTTGCCGAGTTAAGTGACTTACTAGGCATTCCCGAAGAACAGCTAGCGAGGACCCGAGATTCTTCCCCTGGTCGACTATCTACTCCTGAGTACTGGTTGGAATGGTTCCAAAAGACACTAGCCTCGTCGGAGAA